AACGTTTGTCCTTGCGTAATTGTACGCATTCGGTGCAAATTCACAACTCTGTACATATATTGTGGAATTATGTACAATGTCGGTAGAAAGTTTGGATACATACTTTTGTTGGGATTGTATACTTCGTACTCGATTTAATATTTCGCACGTGTGTTGACCGTTTGCTCCGTCGTTTTGGCTGTAGTATACGTAGCATACAACGACAGGCCTGTTCGTATTCCTACACGGAATATTCGAGGCAAGAAAATTAGTATTAATATTAGAAGATCCATGCATTTCACGTAGAGAACTTTGTTGGTAGTGTATGTGTATATATATATATATATATATATATATATATACACGAACTGGCTACGTTCACCGTCACGTAGAGCAAATATTTACCGATCCTTGCGCTCTAATAGACACCATAATTCACCCCCCCGTGCTTTGTTTCATTCGTAATTTATTGAATCGTTGCTGTTGAAGACTCTCGAATCTTGATGATATTGCAGTCTGCAATCTGATCCACCCGGCGATCGTTAACAACGCAACAACGACAGGGGCAACGATCGGAAACATCTGCTGCTCGTGAATTTTACGATATTATCGGGGCAGCGTGCGTAAATCGCCGGACGAAAGTCGATGCACGGACTGAACGCAAGCGTTAATGCCCGCTGGAAAACGAAAACGGGGCGAATTGTTGCGTCAATCGTGGCAGCCGGGTCGTAACAGCCAGCCAGGTTCGTTTAATTTCAGTTAATGAAGTATCGAGCTCTGGAATTCCGAACGGATCGCGAATATTGTAACCTGTGCGAAAATTTCATTACGCAATGACGTGTAACAGGCCCCTTGCAATACGGACGGGCCATTGGTCGAAGATTCCCCCGCCCTACAATGGCTCATTAAATAATCACGCGTTAATAAAGCGGCCTCTCAACAAGGCCGGACCTTTACGAAATGTAATGGGATTCAGAGGGAGAGTCCGCAGTCGGACTAATAGCCAACTAGAATCCCGGATCACTGGCATATTTGCTGCAGTTTCCAGCGGCTTTCGGTAGCTTTGAGACCAGGCTATCCGGCTTCCATAGTCGTATCACCGGGCATATCAAGGGGACCGCGTTTGCGGTTTCGTCCGTTCGCTCGGTCAACTAACAGCCACGATCGATTTGCTCCATGAAGATTCGCTCTCACCTATACTGGCACCAATACCGGCAGAGGCTGCCTTTGCGGGATAAATCGCCGGAAACGTCGACAATCCAATAAAATCGACACTTCTCCATCGGCAAATGAACCGGCTGACCTTTGCACGGAGATATATATATATATATATATATATATATATATATATATA